CATGACTTTTGTGGATGTCAGTCACCCCTTCTTGTTCCACATGTGTGCTGGGAGAAGCAGTCACTGAAATTCTGCTGATTGTTGGTGCAGCAATTGATGCACACAGGAAATGGAATTTTGAGTGAAGGCTTGTCCTGAGTGTGCAAGTTGGCTGTTGGTGCCAAGTGGATGAGGAGAGACAGTGCCACCCTGCTGGGAAGTTGCTCAACAGCCCAGTGGGGGTTGCAAAAGCAGAAAAATGACTGTCAGCAAAAACATGATGTGCTCAAATTTGCATGCATTTGGCCAGCTTGGACTGGACCAACTCTCAAAGGGGCTGGCTCCAACAAACTGGTTCAAGGGGAAGAGTCAAAGCGGGCGTTTCAGGTCTTGCAGCTGAAGCAAGAGCCAGAAACTGACACGGTGAGAGCTCACTTGGGCCCTGTCTGGAGGAACGTTTCCTGGCATTTGATGATGAGTGATCCTCAGCAGTGGGTGCCTGTCATCCAGAGTTATTCCGATCCCAGTGGAAACTCTCGTCTTCCACCAGATTCTGAACAAACACTCATTGCCTGGAATCCAACTGTTGCACCTGCGTCGGCCACAAAATTCACATGTCATCTCCTCAAAGACACGTGGTGATACTGGTCTCCTCTTTGTTGGGCAACAAGTTGGAAGGAGAAACATGACAAGATGAGTTGGGCTGTGGCCCACCGCACTCCAGCAGCAAGCACTTCAAGCAGCAAGAAGTTCTGTGAGAGCATTTGGAAGATTTGAAAAAAATGCCTGCATCAGGCAGCTCCACAGCAAGGACATTTTGCTTCAGCTGCATTTTCGTGTGTGAATGTCACACATGATCACCCCAAGAATCATCAAGGTTGAGACAACATGTGGATCGACACTTGCCACTGCGTTCCTGGTTGGAGGAAATGAGAAATGGTCTTCCAACAGACCCGCCGGCGAACAGTGTCGATGCGCGCGCACGACGTGAAAAAGTGACGTCAGTTTGTGTGAATCCGTGACTGCACCTTTCCATGGGCATTGCACGGTTTTTGCTATTAGTCACAGAACGGTCACCCGCATGCGTTGAGTTTTTGAGAAAACATCCCCCAAAAGTCTCAATGGACAAAATCTTCTCACAGAGCACACGTGGAGGGGTGCGCTATCAACATTGCATGCAAGACAGCATTGTCGCGTTTGATCGTGAGTGACAACAGCCCACACGTGGTCTTCTTCTTGAAAGCGCTTTACTACGAGTTTCATAACAATTGCACATCGTCTTGCGCAGTGCGCAAGTGCTCTCGCCCAGAGAGCAAAAAGTAATAATTTGAAGTTCTAAACTTCGATTTGAAGTTAAGAACTTCACGTAGAAAGTCTACTAGGTTCTACTGAGCTAGTTTTTGGATGGCATTCATGATTGATTCATGATTGATTCATGATTGAATCACCTCAAACCATTTTTAACCGCCCTGAACCATTTTGTTTTGTTTTGAGGGGAATCGTGATTCATCCATTCAGTCATTTTAAAACATTAGCTCAGTAGAACCTGGTACATGATGTACGAGCAAAAGTTCATAACTTCAAATCGAAGTTTAGAACTTCAAATTATTACTTTTTGCTCTCTGGGCGAGACCGTGTGCAATTGTTATGAAACTCGTAGTAAAGTTGCGTTGAAGATTGGAAACGCAAATTCATCTCCCACACCAGCTTTAAAATACACTCGCAGTTCAGACGCTTTTGCAAAACGAACCAGACTGACAAAAAAACCTTCAACACACAAGAGTGTTTGAAACTTCATCCATCCAATGTTGCAATATGCTGACTTACTGAATTTCTCTGAAGTTCTTTCAAAAATGGCAAGCCGCTCAGCAAAGAACGAAGGGAAAGAGAGCGCGATGAATAAGACAGCAAGGTATGCAAGTGAAAGTGAGGCCACGGTTCCTTCGCATCAAAGAATTTAATCCAGACTTCTTGGAATTCTTTGCATTTTTGACTAACGACGAGAGTGTTTGTTTGACTTTTGCTTCATTGCAGGTTCATCATATTTATCTCCATTGGTTGCCTCATAATTATTGCCTTTGAATCATCCTTAATTGGTAGTTTATTGGATTCAAATAGTCCGATGAGGGGTTGTAGTTCTGCCGCCGTCCACGATGAACATTCCGACGATTTCCCCACCGCTGGTTTAGGAGGAGCTAGTGGTGTGCGATTTTCCGGAACCAAGATCAGAAGCTACGATACGACGACGAACATCAAAGGCTTGTTTTTGGCTTCTGGAACGAAGGTGGATCCATTCCAGGAATTTCTTTCTTCGACCGCTCCATCATGTCTACATTGGGCTGTTGTTACCACTATATTTGTGCCCAATGAATCAATTATTGGGATCTCTAACTTGAAAGGTTGGTGCATCGTTATTGTGGGCGATACAATCACACCAGACAAAGCTTACGACGATCTTGCCAGAAAGGAAAATGTTGTTTATTTGTCCGCTTTGAAACAGGAAGAGATGTTAGAGGCAAGTTCTTTCATGAGAATGATGCCATGGAAAAGCTTTGCAAGAAAGAATATTGGTTATTTGCTTGCGATATCATTCGGGGCAAAAGTTATATACGACTTCGATGATGACAATGTCTTGTTGCCCCTTGAAGAYGGTGCTACCATCCCGCCCCCATTCTTCTATGAAGAAGATAAAGGATTCGAACGRACTGTTTTGCATAAGTTTGTTGCTGAAGCGGATAATGATGTCATCATCGAGCATGCCTTCAATCCGTATCCATTTATGGGCCCTGATCATCATCATTCTTGGCCCCGAGGATTTCCCATTGACCAGGTTCAGAAGAGCTTCGATGCATGGAATCTGACCAATACCACCGTTGGAGATATAAAATACTCTTCCATTGGAGTTATCCAGTCGCTATGCAACGGCGACCCTGATAGCGACGCTATATTTCGATTGTCACGAAAGGATGCAACGAAATTCAAATTCGATCGTTCTCCTACTGCATTACCGTTGCTGATCCCTTCCTCTGGATATTCCCCCTTCAATGCACAAGCGACGACTCACTTATATCATGCATTTTGGGGTCTATACTTGCCCTGCACTGTCCCGGGGCGTGTCACTGATATTTGGCGCAGTTTTATCATGCAACGCGTCATGACAGAGCTTGGGTTGTACGTTTTGTACACGCCCCCTATTGTGACCCACGAGCGCAACGCACATGATTATCTTGGTGACCTGATTGCTGAAGCTGATGTATACACAAAGACGTCATCTTTGCTTGCGTTCCTTCATAGTTGGTCCCCRAACRAAGCGGAAACTTTACCAGAGTTCATTTTCGAACTGTACATTGAATTGTATGAACGTGATTACATCGAACTTCATGATGTGGAGAGCGTTAAGGAATATTTACAGTCCTTGGTAGCGATTGGGTATGAATTTCCAAGCCCCAAAAACGCATCCTTGCCTCAAGAACAGCCATCTGTTTTGGGGCAGCCTTATAGATCATTTCCTAAATTCAAAATCAATTCTCACGGAAAAAAATTGGAAAAAGGGTCTGATGAATGGTGGACCTCCGCTGTAGACTGGAGCTCACGAAGTGAGAGCGCTGTKGTTAAATTAATTCTCATGACAATGAACGAGTGGCCATTGGTGAAATCGTGGGTGATGGTAAGTTCGTCGCATTGAAAAGTTTGCCGCTTTTGTGCTCTGGCATGTTTATCTCACACCAGCACATCTCCACTTTTTGCCCGGTTTCTGTCCAGTATCATGGGTACGTCATTGGATTTGAGAATCTTTATATTATAGACTCCAGCACAGACAGTCGCTGCTTGTCCTTTCTCCGATACGCCCGAGATCATCTAGGAGCTAATGTAATGTTTGGCGACWTCAACCTGAATGAGTTAGAWCCCCTCWTGTCCTCTATTGGAAAGAATATTGCAGGCTCTTCCGACGTCTTCCTTAAAATGGATACAGACGAGTTCTTAATGGTTTATGATGAAGCCAGCACGACTGKCTCTGCCTCTATCTTGGATTATCTAGCTGATTTTGCCAAAGATAAAAATCATCCGTTGCGATTGAACGAAACTTCGAGAGTCGGATATACTCAGCSTTCCGTCCCGTCAAAAGAGGTCTGCAAAGAAGATATCCATGCATTGCCTGAAAAGTTTCCACTTGACGAAGTTCAGTCGGTCAAAGAAAATGAAATGGTTTATTCGTCAGCAGTTTTTATGTCGGTCAAAGAATATAAAATGGTTTATTCGTCACCAATTTTTTTTGGTGATGTGAACATAAATCTTGGGGGCCATGCCATTAATGTGAGAGACAACATATCGACGAAGTTTTTGGTCGTCCATTATCATTGGAGATGCATCGAGATTGATGTGGAAAACTCAAAACAAGTTCTTGAAAGACATAATTATATTTCTCCCTCGGATACAGACGAAGCGGTTTTGGCAAAGTTGACCGAACGAATGGGCTGCTCGGCAGATGAGATGTGTGACAATAAGTGCGTGTATCCASYTGTARMAAGTAYTCATAAAGTACAAACTTATTTGTGGTGGCTCCACTGCAAGGAGAATCTTGAGAACGACTATTACAAACAAGGGGGGAAGGGTGTTTTCAACCAGGACATGCTCGATATTTGGCGCATTTCAGAGAAAAAGTTTGGTTTGTAGAGCATGTGGTACTTTTCCACATGAAAAGTATATTCGGCCCTCTTTGCAATGGAGACAAGTTGGAAGACAAACATAGACGTCGTAATCAGTAATTGAAAGCTTAATGAAGACATGCCTTCTGTGTGTTCCATCATTGCAATGGCACCTTGCTCCTCTTTGCATGAGAAGGAGAAGAGTGTGTGGCATGCTCGAAATGCAGTGATCATATATATAAACGCTTTTGGTTCCAAGTTCAAAATACTTTCTTCCCATTGCTGCCACATAGGCCTCCACTTCTCGTCCATCTAGAGATCCCCACTTCTAGATGACATGAAAGGATCTGAGACAAGGTAATCTAGTACAGTAGTTCTTTTGAAATATTCTTCCTATGAATTTAAAAAAATTGAAATCACAATGCTCTGAAGGCAGTACCTTTTCACTAAATGCTGTCTTCATTAATGCCGAAACTATCGAAGGAGCTTTTCAATAGGCTTCGGCGAAGTTCAGACCGCTTTTTCTCTTTTTCGCTTCGACCTGTGGCTGGATCTTTCTCATCAGGGACTCTCCACTCTGGTATTGAATATTGGAAATCTTCAAATATCTTCAGGTCGGGATAGGAGATGTTGTTTATTGACAGGTGATTAGCGTTCAACTTGGTCTTCTTGATTTTCTTTGACTTCTTTTCCTTCTTAATTTTCGATTTTGAATCATGTTCAGTCGTTCTTTCCTCGTCATTTGCTATTTTTGAATCTCCGAGGGAACCGACGGATGCACTCGAAGGTTGTGTTGAACGAGCTCCCATTGATTCGTTTGGAGACGAAGACACATGACTGTCGCATGATGGCATTGTTTCAAATGCATCTTCAGTCAATTGTGTTGGCTTCCATGGTGCTGGAAACAATTTTGCTTGTACCTGTGATAAGTCTACACCCTCAAACCATTGGTGTAGAACGATATCATTTACTCCTCCAGCGAGCATACCCAGACGTTGAGCAGGATCCTTATTTAGTAGTTTTTCTATGAAATCAACCAATTGATCATTTGTATCTTTTGGCAACGGGAAATATTCTTCCTGACAAATGGTATGAAACAATGATGCTTGATCCATATCTTCAAAGAAAAAAGGGTTCTCACCTGTGATCATTTCGTAAACAGTCACTCCGAGTGCCCAAAAATCAACACTTCGATTGTGTCCCCCATTTGTGATGAGCTCAGGAGCAACATAGTTCGGTGTACCAACGAATGTGTAAGTTTTTTCGGGGCAGTACTTGGCAAAGCCGAAATCAACAATCACGGGATAACCACTTGCGTCGATCAAAACGTTCTCAGGTTTTAGATCCCGATAAACAATACCCTTTGAATGCATGTAATTGAGCGTATCTGCAATAGACATTGCGTAAAACTTGGCATGATCTTCGGGCAACCCAGAAGACCAGTTTCCTTGCTCGTCTTCCACATGGATTCGATCCCAGAGTTCTCCGTGAGGAACCAATCTCATAAGCATGTGAATAGATGCGTCATCTTCGTAAGTTGTGACCAGATCAGCCAGTTGTGAATGCCTGAGCTTTTGCATTACTTCTATCTCTCTTCGAATCAAGTCAGTATTATCAAAACCGTGGTTACGGTGTATTTTTAGCTGTGACTTCAGAGCGAATTTTTGTCTATGTTCTGGACTCCCCTCACTTGAAACATTAGCTGAGACCAGCCACACCTCACCGAACTCGCCTTCGCCGAGGAGGCGAATTTTTTCCAAGTCTTCGAAAGAAAGATGACTTTGAATAGCTTCTCGTACCTTCTTTTCTTTTGGCATAATGCCGTGTGTTTCTTTTCGGATAGTACCAGTAGTGGATTTGTCAGTTGTAGGCAGGAAGCAGATGGCTTCGTGTGTTACGTCCATACATGATTTTGTCGCCATTTCATCTAGGGACAACACCCCGATTGAAGCATATTGACCGTCAACAGATGAAACTGTCAACCCTTCAACTCGATGGTACCGTGGAATGCCATTTTCCGTAGAGAGTCGGAGCTGTGCATGACCAAAAGTACTCCCCTCTGTTAAGAGATTCTCTGTTTTTACTCCAGCCCTTTCGTCGTGAGAAGATACAAGCAACTGACCTTCTCGAACAACATATATGGCAGGTGGGTCAAAGCGGTCAACTTCTAAAATATTATCGTCTTTTTCATCAATTATTTTCTCAGACATTCCTTCTGCCATCAAATCATGTGCACAATTTGATAACTTTGCTTCTTTGATCAATGGAGTAGCAACAAGCCTGCGCATGTCCATAAGATTCTGCAATCTGCTGGGTCCAATAATTTGCCCCATTGAATGATTATCAATCCTAAAAAATACAACCTTTTCAGAGCTAACTTCCATGTCAGTATTGTTTGTGCTTTGTCGCGGCAGCGACCCAATCAAAGCTCGAGAACCGAAATAATCTCCAGGATTCAGAGTTTTTTCAATTCTTGCAACGTGCATCTGTCCTGATTGAATGACCATAAAAGTTATATCCTGCGACATATTGTAGGTTTCACCAAGTGTCATCTCTTCTCGAATCATAATAGACAACAATCGGTTAGTCAGAGTTTCATTTTCACAAATTAAATCATGCAAAAAGTCGACACCTAACAAGGCATCTCTTTTTTCCTTAGCTGCTCGTTTTGAAAATATTCGTAGAAGACCACGAAATGCTCGTTGCTCTATTCTCAGAAGATGAGTTTGTTTAGATTCGTGGACCGATACAGTATGTTCACTCGTCACGTTATAAAGCAGAGCGAGTTCCCCGAAATAAGCTCCTACTTCATCTATCTCTGAGATCAACTTCCCGTCTTTGTGAAAATTAAGTTTTCCTTCATCGACAATATAAAATTGGTCGTTTTGTTCTTTCGTACCCTCATGCAATAATACATGTGCTGGCTGAAAAGTCAAAGGTTCGAATGCGTTCGTTAGCGCATCCAGTGCCCCTTCACATCTTGCCTTTCCATGTTTGCGAAATTCCTTGAACACGAAGCTGCGTTCTACAACATTCAATATGAGTTGATGTTGTATATCGCTTTTAGAAAAGGATTGAGGAACAAAATTAGTGAAATCAAAGGGAGCAGCTCGGACTCTATCACAGACACCGTCCTTCGTTCTTCCTGCCTCTTCGTTTTTGCTAGATCTAAATGTTGCTACATTATTTCCGAAGCCAATCCTGTAGAAGCGAGCACGATTTCGACGCAACAACCGAACCCGTTCTTCTTTACTCTTTAGACATCCTAGACGTCTATGACGCTCCCTGGCAGCAATTTTGGAAGCAAGTTCTCGTCGTAGTTGAGATTCTTCTTCCGAGAGATGTTCATATCGACGAAGAATTGGATCTAAGCGATTGTTATTCTTGGATGTTTTAACAATCTTCCTAACTTCTTCAGGAGTTCGCAGGTCTAACCTCAAAATGCATCTCTTTGAATTTTTGCCCTCAAAATTTTGTATTCGATTTGCAAGTGCCGTTTTCCGGTCTGAACGCGTCACTATCGATTCATTTACTTTAGGACGACTAGAACTCGAAAATGAACAAAAAGTTGAATCATTTAGAGATTGCACCGGAGAAATAGATTCGACATGGTTACGATATGCATCGAATTGTGCAACGCGAAGCGACATCTTCGTACTCAAACGCCTTGACACAGAAAACGATGTACCTCGCGAGACGGATGCAAGATCGGTGCTGTTGTTGTTGCGGTGATTTTGGTCGATAAAGACATCCTCGAGAAGACTGATGCTTCCCTCCAACGTATTTCTCGGCGAGTCCCTAACATTGTCGTCGACATTCTTTTCTCTGAAAGTGTCATCTGATTTCTCCTCGTCGTCAGTCGGAAGCTGCGAATCTGTTCGCAAGCAATCTTCCACTATTACCATCTTTGGTAAGAAATGTTCAGGTTGTTTCCAATAAGAAGCGAATCGTCGGGTATGTTTTGAGATGGACTAGTTTGTGTTCGTGTTGATTGCTTTTCTTCTATTCAAATTATTAGATCAATGTCAGATTTTGCCGAATTTCTGAAGAGATCGATGATACTTTAGGATACAAGCACCAAGTACGTACTGGTAGAGAAACGTTCTCGTTGAGCTAGTACCAGTATCTACGATCAGGTTAGTCAACGGGACAGTAAACGGTGTCACAAATTTGGCACGACACAGAGTTTTTACGAATAGCAGGTGGAAGTGGTACGGTACGAAAAACTTCTTACTGTAAAGCAAAAATTTTTGAAGTCTTGTGAAGTATTCCTGGTCATCACACGATGCCCAAGACATCATCACACGATGCCCAAGACATATTAGGTTCAAAAGGTCTTTAATGACTAGAAATTCCAAGACTTGATTTTTATGGTCATTTTTGACTCAATCTATTGTAGCGATGTCGAATTTTTTATTATTCTTGATTCAAGTCGAAACCATTTCAGGCTTAGTTAAAATAGACGCCTAAGAGGTCATTTCGATTGCACAAGTTCGAAATAGGTTCGAAGTACGGTACGGTACGAAACAGTACAGTACAGTACAGTACCATACTTCTTAAAAAATGCAGTTATCGGTGTAGCGAATCCCGCGGGGACTGGACTGACACCAGCGCGCACAACACGCACGCTGGCAAGAAAAATGAATGGCTAGGAGCCAAGGGGGACAGCTGCAACAAGAGGTGCGCCCTAGAGCTGAGCAGCTCACTCAGCTCACTATTGCTAGCTTGCAACAGAGCAAACAGTAACACTAGTAGTAGTAGTAATAAGAGCGCTCTTTAAAGGGACAGGGGCCGTCCTGAACCCCCCCCCCCCCGTGGTCTAGCTCCAGGATCCTGGGCCCAATCGCGCCCCAGTCCTAATCACCATGGCGGCCAGCACCGCCTCGCAGTGGCCCGTACGGTATGCAGAGCTGTTCGAGAACTCCTCCGCAAATCCCTTCGGTCCCGACAGTAACCTACGGAAGACAGCCTACAGGGGGATCTACGAGCGCTACCGTAGCGCCCCAGGAGCCCTGTCGGCGGACCTCCTAATGGAGGCTACGCTCAATTTGTTTGAAGCTCAACCTGTGGGTGGGATTGGTATCTTTGTCTCTGATCCCTCCTCCACACCACGCCTACGAGTCATTCACGGGATCCGGAAATATCCGGGGAGCCTGCTTTGCACCTCGCAAAATGCTAACAAAGCTTTTGGTTATCTAGATGATGTGGTGTTAGGCCAAGGGGAACTCGCCCAAATAACCACCAGCATGTTTGATCTCACCTCCGACGTCCGTGCTTGTACGGTGAGCCACCACACTGCCACGCTGGAGGCTGACCCAGCACTCAACTTCATCGCACCACGCCCCAAAGGAGCTCCTGAAACTGAAGTTATTCGGTGCAGACAGACATTCTTCATTCCCTTTGAGCTAATGCCACTCGTAATAGGCAAGCGACTTACTCCGGGCCCCAAGTTCCGGACTGAACTGGACCTCACCGTGTACATGCAGCAAAAATTACTGCACCGCGATCTCCTGGGCTTAGTGGAAGTGCCCTCAAGAGCCGGGCCTGAGACCCAAGCTCTAACTGCAGCAGTGACCACTCTCACTGACCAACAACTAAGAGCTAATGAAGCCAACGAAAGGCGCCGTGCCAAGGAAGCAAAGCCGGCGACACTGGAGGATACAGTAGGAGAGCTCAACGCCTGCCGTCTACGCAGACTCTGTCAGGTAGATAAGGAAGATGCACTCCCCGCTATATATAGTGCATGGGCGAAAAAGGAAAAGGCTGAGAGGATCCATGCTTTATTCCAGAGTCATGTGGACCAAGCTGCACAGGAGCTCGGCTTCCCTCCCCCATTCATCACCACTGCGGCTCTAAAGACATTCCAAGCCTTCCGGTTCTATGGTGTAGACAACTGTGACTTGGGGGACGGCATCCTCCCTATGGCCTTTGCACCCCCTGGAGGTTCCCCCACAGCTAGGAAGAGCCAAATGGAGGAAGCACGGGCTGCACCTGCTCTCCTCTATTCCCCTAACAATACATATTTGCTGTTGTTCTAAATTTGATAACATTGGATTGTTATTTGAAGAAAGCAAGAAATACAAACAGAAATAGAAAAAACTTGTACCATTATATTGAATCTCTTGAGGACCTACTGTATGAAGAGGAACCAGGACAACCCTACAGCTGGGAGCTATAATGCTCCTACTACTACTAGTTGCTCCAAGAAGGGGAGGCACCTGAAGAAGAGCCCATCCAACAAGAAAAATATGTGTGTGTGTGTGTGTGTGTGTATAAAGGCATCATGGATAAGCTTATCAATACTAGGAGTGATGCAATCATGGTGCTGTTGAGATGGGACAAGGCATGAACTTTTTGGGCTGGTGGAAATACATTACAGAACAAAGAACTACTACTAGTAGAAGAGATCATTTTGGTTTAAATTTTGCTTACCACCAGCTAGTACTGTAATGCTTGCCATACATGCAAGAAGTACTGTTAATCATATTAGTGGTACCAGTAGTAGTGTGACATGGTACATCAGTCACCAGTAAGTGAAGTTTCAAATTTTATTTTATCAAGAGTACCACAACTTGAGACCCAAATGAATTGAGTCCTACTACTACTAGTTTGAAAGGCAAAGTAAATGGAGCTTCTTCAAGTGGGAGGCACTACTGGTATCATGTGGCTGTTGGTATGATCCAAATGCTGTAGAGCAAGGAACAAGAAGTTCAAACAATGCCTCCTACTACACTAGATTCCTGCCTGAGGGATGATGTTGCATCAAAAATATACCATTAAAACTCACGATCAGAGTTCAGCAGGTACAAAACTCTGGTTACATTTTTGGTACACATGTGGACCATGCGGCGCTACAGTTATAACATACTACAACAAGTTGCTGATCGATTGAAACTACTTTTCACAGAGCGTTCCCAATGTTAATTTAACATTCCGAATGTTAGAAATAACGTTCCAAATGTTATTTTAACACAAGGAACATTGTTACTAGTATGTCACCGCAGGCCTAGTATGTGGATCCTAGTATTCCTCCAATAATCAATGTGGTAGTTCTACCTTCCCAAAATGATTATTTGGGTCTTGCATACTATACCTTAATCCTTTCCAGCAAGTTAATGTTCCGAATGTTAAATTTATCATGTAGGCCTACGTAGATCCTAGTATTATCCACATTCTTCATTTGGTACCAAATCAGTCTTGCACATGCCTAAAAAGGAAGAAGGAATCTAAAAAAGAGGAAGAAGACGAGGACGCCTTCCCTACTACTAACTTTCAGACTGTTAAGCAAAGGAGCACTCAGGACGTTAAATTGAAGCAAAAACTGCAGTACTCATTTCTGCAAGGCATAGGATTAGTAACACATTGTATGTTAATTTAATGTTCTGATCCCCTTCTTTAAAGAAAGTTCAATTGTTATTTTACGCGTAGTATTACTACTGCTAGTAAGCAGAGCATTCAGGATGTTAAATTGAAGCAAAAACCACCGTACTCATATCTAGTACATAACCTACACTGACATTCTTCTGATAACATTCGGAATGTTTAACTACCCCTGTGAAACGTAGTTTCAATTGATCTGCATCGCCTAGTACGTATGCTTGTACTGCAAGAAAACACAATTACTACTACCTCCGTCCCACAATAATAGGACACTTTGCACCTCTTCAGCTGAAATAAGCTCAATATTTGGGCAATTGGATTGCTTATTTTTGCACTAAACAGATCTATTACACTGTTATACAGTCATGTAGATTGAATATAGTGAGTGTGTCTGACCTACTTGCAATAGCCACTGGAAGAGGGCTCTTTTTGGCATATAAAAGTGATTTTACCGGTTGAAAGGGTTCTACTGGTCTTTTATAGACGGGACCGGTTTATTTGAAAAGCCCAGACTGAGAGCTTTTACATGATGTACTTATCGTATTCATTGAGAATGTTCCTGTGCAGTCATTCTTGGTGGCAAGTGGAAGCAAAAAACTGCTCGGGCGTATTCGGGCCTGTGCGTTTTTTTTTTCAATTTTGAGATGGAGAACCGCTTCGAAGAGAAAAAAAAGTGCTGGGCGGATGGTGAAAAAATGCTCCCCGTGTTATTTTCACGTGTTATTTTTCACTTTTGATTCCACTACACCTCMCAATTTCCTCTTTTCGACGCTCTTCTCATTCTCTTCTTCTCCATTCAACAACTGACTAAGACCGGCTTCTTTCTTCTTTGCACCTCAAGTGACTCATCGACGTTGAGCCTACGCGACTCCACTACTACGCGACTCCACTACTACGCGCCTCCACAGCTCCTGTGCCTCGGTTGCTTCCACTAAGAGGGAATCGCGCCTCCATTGATTCCACTCCACTCCTCGGCTCGCGTCTCCGGAGCGCGTCTCCGTTGCTCGCATCTCCGTTGCTTCTAATAAGAGGCGCGGGGGGGGGGAGCGCGTCTCCGTTGCTTAGTGGGGGGGAAGACCGACTCGCGTCTCTCCGTTGACAAGCTAAGAGGGAATCGCGCCTCTGTTGCACTCCTCCATTGCTTTCACCAACGCGGGAAGCAAAGCCTCGCACCTCCGTTGCGTCTCCCGCCTCCGTTGCTTCGGGGGGGGGGGG